TTTTTAAATTATTTCCTCTTTTTCTAAAAAATAGAAGTAAATATTTTTTGACATTAAATTTTTCCAAAAATTAATTAAAAATTCAGAAGATTGCTCTCCAAACCTCCTTTGAAGAACTATAAATACACCTTTTAAGTGCTAGGAAAAGGGCACCACCTCTCTTAGCCGGTTCCAAAATTTATCCTACAAAATTAGGATAAATTGGACCGGCAAAAATTTTGAAATTTTTGGTGGCAGGGATCAAGACCTGATACTCTTATGAAGGCTCTAATTCACTCCCAATGTGGGAAAAACTATCCGGCAAGAATTTAAATAACGGAACCGGTGATCAAGATCCGATACTTTTATGTAAGCTTTAGTTCACTTCCATTGGGGGAAAAATTATATGGCAAGAGTTTAAATACTAGTGGCGGCGATCAATGTAAGATACTCTTACACAGGCTCCAATTCACTCCTAGTGGGGGAAAAATTGTCCAACAATAGTCTAAATATCGGCGGCTGAGGCGATCAAGAACTGGTACTCTTACGCAGGCTCCAGTTCACTCATATTGGGGGAAATTGTCCGGCAAGAGTCTAAATATCGACGGTAAATGCGATCAAGACCTGATACTCTTACGTAGGCTGTAGCTCACTCCTATTAGGGGAAAAACTATTCGACAATAGTCTTAAATACCAGCGGGGAAGGTGATCAAGACCCGATACTCCTACGCAGGCTCTAGTTTATTTTTGTTGGGAGAAAAAATATCTGGCAAGTGTCTAAATACCAACGGTAGAGACGATCAAGACCCGTTACTCTTATACAGGCTCGAGTTCACTCCCATTGGGGGGAAAACTATCCGATAATAGTTTAAATATCAACAGCGGATGAGATTTAAACCTAATACTCTTATGCAGGTTCTAGTTCACTCCTATTGGAAAAAAATGTCCAACAATAGTCTAAATACCGGTGGCAGAGGTGATCAAGATTCGATATACTTACGCAGGCTTTAATCCACTCCCATTAGGAGAAATTTGTCTGGCAAGCGTCTAACTACCAGCTGCGGAGGCAATCGAGATCTGATGGCTACAAGTTTCCCATATTTGGAGGTGAATATTGTCAACTAGAGGTGAGGGTACCCTGAATAGTACCCAAAAAGATGGTTCTAGCTCATCTGACAGGAGGCGAGTTATAAAAAAACCAAAGGATCTTCCAGGCATATTCTTTCTTCCTTTTTTTCTCTTTATTATCCTTATCGTATTAATCTTCAAGCATCATATATTCATTTATGTATGCCCCTCTAGACGGTAGGTTGCTATAGCTCCTCGGATAATGAAGGTCAATGAGAGTAACAGTTTTATGTTAACCTATATAGAAGAGGCTAAGAGAATCCATCAAAGATGTATACTATATTTGATATTGTTTATCAAATCATCGCTTGATGACATTGAATTGTATGGAAGAGGTCTAGAGAATCTACTAAGAATGTATGACCTATCTGAGATTATTTATTAGTGTATTGTTCAATGACATTAACCTATATGAAAGAGGCTGAGATAATTCATCAAAGATGTATGACTTATTTGAGGTTGTATGTCAGGGAGTTACTTGATGACATTAACCTATATGCAAGAGGTCGAGAGAATCTACCAAGGATGTATGACATATCTAAGGTTATCTGTCAGAGCACTACTCAATAATGCTAACTTATATAGAAGAGGTTGAGAGAATACACCAAGGATGTATGACCTATATGAGGTTGTATGTCAAGGAGTTGCTCGATGATGTTAACATATATGCAAGAGATCGAGAGAATCCACTAATGATGTATGACTTATCCGAGGTTGTATGACAGAGCACTACCTCAATAACATTAACCTAAATTGAAGAGGTTGAGAGAATCCACTAAATCTGATATTGTATATCAGAGCATTACTCGATGATGTTAATCTAGATGGAAGAGGTCGAGAGAATCTACCAATTATGTATGACCTACTTAAGGTTATATGTCAGAGCACTGCTCGATAATGTTAACCTATATAAAAGAGGACGATAGAACCCACCAAGGATGTATAACTTTTCCGAGGTTGTTTGTTAAAGTAGTGTTTGATGACATTAATCTATATGGAAGAGGTCAAGAGAATCCATCGAGGATGTATGACCTATAAGAGATTGTATGTCAGAGTATTACTCGATGAAATTAACCTGTGTGGAAGATGTCAAGAGAATCCATCAAGGATGTATAACCTTTTCGATATTGTATATCAGAGTATTGCTTGATGATGTTAACCTGTATGAAAGAGGTTGAGAGAATCCACCAAGGATGTATAACCTTTTCGAGGTTGTATATCTGAGTGCTGCTCAATGACATTAACTTGTATGGAAGATATCGAATTGAATCCCCCTAGGATTGATTTTGCCTTGATTGGGAGGGGGCGAACACCACGTGTATCCCAGATCAAAGATAAAAAATGATCTATCTTTAAATAATTACTATTTTTTGAGGTCGAGATTAAGACCTTGCCCAAGGAGTAGAAGTCCAGTTATGGACTGTATAAAGCTTAAAATTTATTGGAAATATCATTGTATTTGCTAAAAGATATATGATCCCAATATATAGTCATGGATATTGGAAGAGTTGGAGAAAATTTCTTGACCATGACTGTACTCAAGGTTTTCCCCCAGTCCACATTTAATTCTCATGAAATTGATGTATCAATAACTGATACTAGGGCGTTGATACAAACGACCTTTTTAGGTCGGAGCAAAAATTGCCCCACAATCGAGAACCAAGTTCCCACATACGATGCCAAACTATTGCATAATAGGATATTCACGGTGATAGAGAAATATAAAATTTAATGTCTTAGCTTTGTACGAAGATCCAACACACAAGCAAATAAAAGAGAGGGTGTAGCGTTCATAAGAGACATCAGAGTTTTTACGTGAAAACCCATGAAAAGGGGGAAAAACCATGGCCTGGCCTAATTTGAATGAATCCACTAGTGTTTACAATCAATTACAAATGAGGCCCTTCCTTGTGGGGGAGGCTTTGGTTTGATGTAGCATAATATAGAGTGCATTACATGGTGCAAATTAGAAGAACAAACATTGATATGTTCATTTTGTCGACATGACCATAGTTGGAGGGCAACGAAGGTCTGAAGGATCGTAGTCAACGGGCGACGGAGGTCGAGAAGATCATTGTCTAGCGACGGGGGTCGGAAGGACTATAGTTGGTCGGCGACGAAAGTTGGAAGAACTATATTTAGCGGGCAATAGAGGTTTGAAAGACTATTGTATGATGACAAAGGTCGAAAGGACCATAGTCGATGGGCAAGGGAGGTCAAAAGGCCCGTAGTCGACAAGCGATAAAGGCCGGAAAGACCCTAGTCGGAGGATCATAGTTGGCAGGAGACGAAGGTAGGAAGGACCATGGTCAACGAGCGACGAAGGTTGAAAGGACCGTTGTCGGTGGGCAATGAAGGTTCAAAAGACTATTGTTTGGCGATAGAGGTCGAAAGGATCATAGCTAGTGGGCCACAAAGGTCAGCAGGACCGTAGTTGGTGAGGACAAAGGTAAGAGGGGCGTAGTAAGATAATTAAAGAGGTTAGAAAGACCATTGTCTGGCGATAAAGGTTAGAGGGACTATACTTGGTAGCCCGATGGAGGACCAATAATGGTTAGTCGCAAGAGGAGGCCCAACGGCAGTCGTCGGTGGGGTGAAAGTCTGGTGATGATTGACGACCGGGCAGTAGTCAGACAATGGTCGACATCCGGGCAATGGTTGAGCTGAAGTCTGGCATCGGTCGGCGGCCCGGTGGACGTTGGGTGGTGGCTGGCGTCCTGGTGGTATTCCGACGATGGTCGGGTTGAAGTCCGGTGGCGGCCGACAACTGGGTGAAAATTCGATGGTTGGCGACAGGACGGTGGTCCAACAATAGTCAGGCTGAAATTTAGCGGTGCATGGGTAGAAGCTTAACAGTGAAAGACAGCCAAGCGGTGTTCTAACGGTAGTCGTGGGTTCGCCAGCAGTGGTGTTGAAGCTCTTGAAGCCTTAGAGCTCTCTCTAGTCTCTAGCCAAAGGTCTCCTTCATGTAGAGAGTGGTAGTATATTTATATATTTTTATAAGTGGCACACCCCGTAAATATAGAGAAGATCTTGGGCAGGTTTGGAGTGCTCCATCGGATGACTCGTATTAATTCCCTCAATCATAGATAGTTTTTCAACTGTTTAAGTACCTTAACGATGTCGAAATTCAACGATCTTGAGCTCGTTGGATTCGTCCTGACAAGCCGCTCGATTTGACTATAAGCATGTCATATTTGAATATCATTTTGTCATCCAAATAATGATATGACCCTTCCAAAAGTCGTTTGAGCCCCCGATTTGGATCCATTTGGGCTTGGATTGGACCGATTTTGGTGTTGTTAGGTTCGTCTCTTTGAGTAGTTTAGTTTGACTATAAGTTTGCTGAAATTATAATTCAGATGATCCCACATTTAATTTTAAAAGTTTCCAACTTGAATATGCCTCGAGATTCAATCTCGATCAAAACAATTTTCGATGATGTATCAAGATTAATGATGATGATGACAATCAAAATGTTTAATCATATGCATAAAATTAGCATGTGTTAAAATTTGCTCCAGCAACCTGTGCAATTATTTGATTTTTGGGAAAAAAACATATGTTATTGCTACTTTGCGATTTCTTGTACATAAATCGATTAGGAACCCTCACATTATACATAAACTTGCCTCGAATCTTTTTACTTAAATGAGTATATTTGAAGAATAGCATAAATTTTATTAATTTTTTTTCATACAATAATTTGATATTTTTATAATTTTTTTTAATTCTAACAACATGCATTTTATACCTATACAATAAAACTAGTATATATAAATATTTTATATTCGCAGAACTTATAATATATTTATCATTTAAATATTTTATAACAATTAAATTGAGACAAACTAATTCGTAAAATATCTTTTCTACCATCGGGAAAAATTCGTTCCGCAGTGAATTATAATTCTAAGATGGCGTGTGGCAATTTAATAAGGCTTATCGAAATTGTAAACCCTTCGAAGTCCGAGTGATTAGGGTTCAGGATTTGAAGAGTCGTAGTGTAGAAAGAGGAATGTCGAAGCGGGCATTCATGGAGGTCTCAGGTACTTTTTTTTTTCTTTAATTATGATTTTTTACAAAATCTGGTCTCAGGTACTTTTGTTTGATTCTTCTCAGCTATTAGGGTTCGGGATTACGGCATCTTAGACTTTTTTTTTTTTTTGGATCTTTGCTTTACTTTTACCACGTTAGTTTACTAGTCACACTTTTTATCTGGAATTATGCATTGTTTGTAATTTGCTATTTGTTTTCTTGAGGAAGGTGGTGATATGTGATCATGTTGTTTGAAGTTATTGTTTACGTAGTTTATTCGCTTGGTTTTGCGAAGAAAGAGATGAAAGTCTATGCCTTTTTTGGTATTACGTGTTTAGCGGGTCAAAATTGATCTGAATTTGTTGAGGCATCATGGGATTTTATTAGGTTTCTCATTTGAAGCTTCTGCGTTTTTGCTGTCTGTTCTATTTACCGTGTAAGCTTGAGTGCTGGAATTAGGGCTGTTTGGCCTATACGCAGGATTTAATTCAAGTAGGATTTAGTAAGCTTGTAATTCCATGTTTAGTAAAATCCAGGTGGCGTTAAATCCTAAAAGTTGTTTGCCATGATAGATTTTAAATTTAATTCAATCGTAGTAAACCGTTTGACAATTTTTTTTTTTAAAGATTTAGGAATTAAATGGAGGAGAAGAAGATGCATAATGGAGAGAATTTCTATAAATCTATTAAATATGCCTTACCTCTGTATTTACTAAATTCGGGATTTCGTCCAAAATTGGCGAAAAAAGGATTTAAGAAGGTCCAATGATTTATGTAGCTAAAAAAACTGGTTGGAGAGATTTACTCTAAATAAATCTTGGTTAAACTTTGGAATCAAACAGCCCCTTAGGGTTGTTTTGGATGAAATAAATTGTTTTAGGGCTCAATTATTTTTGTTATTCTGTTTATGAAGCCAAGTCCCTTGAGTTCTTTGGAGAGGGTTATATTTGTCCTGCACAATTTAACAGACATGTGGTTCTCAGGTTAGTTTAATCTGATATTAGAGCTTATGTCTTGGATGGACACATGGTAAGTTGATTTGATATTGAATGTAGTTATTGGCTGTGAGTTTGAGGCTATGTACAGAGTTTGGTACATTTTATTAGCATGCTTTAATTAAGTGTAGTTTAAAGATATATACATATGCCATATATACATTGTTAAATCCAACATATGAAGCATCATTGGAGGTACTAATGCTTGCTTATTCCTTTGAAACTTTTCATTAGCAGAGTTCCTTCAATAAAGTTTGGAGACTATTATACCCATAGACTGGGTTATAACAAGACACGAGGATAAGATAAGTCTTAAAAGATTATAAGATGGTATCAGGATTTTGACATTAATATGCATACATGTGTATGCATATATTTGTACATGCAATAATGCATCAAACGTTCAATAGTAAGCAACCACTTCATTTATGCTACAGCCCAAACATTCCTTCGAAAATATAAAAAATCATAAATTATTGTATTTACACTTAAAAGTCATACATGCATGCATAAACACCCAACAAGGTCACATAAAATGGTCGATGCTAGAATCTCTATACAATCAATTGTTATAGCATAAAAAATCGTGACTTAAGTATCTATTATTTAATCTCTATGCAAATTAGCTCATGTGGCATTACCTCCCCCTCGCCACATATTAGGCGAGGGGTTTAACTTCCAAAAAGTGTTAGACATAGATGCTAAGCTCCTTGAGAAGTATATTGCTTTGTCAAAACATTTTGGTCTATGATGCACCGACACTTATCCTCAAAGAGGCATGCAGTCTCCGACGTGTATCCGACACGACACGTGTTCGACACACTTCCGACTCCGACACGGCGAAAACGTACCTAATTAAAAATATTAAATAAAAATTAGACACACATGTCTTAAATATTATATATATATTTTTAATATAACTTCTTATATTTAAAATTTTTATTTGTTTAAAATATAAAAACTTAATTTCTTATTTTTCTCTTTACAACATCAAATCAATTGCTCGCACTCAATACCCCTTTTATCGAATATTCTCATTTTCATTTCTCTTTGGCGGTTGTGACTTTGGTTTCACAACAATGACTGATATCATCTCAACAACGACATTTGACGTCGTTACAACTTCAACATTTCAAAACCATCTCAACATCAAATTCTGACATTGTCTTAACATTGATGCTCGATGATAGCAATTTCTTCACCCACAACTTGACATCTCATCTTTGTCCGACATCATCTTAACATCGATGACTAACGCCCTCTCAACATTGACGAACTATGTCCTCTTGACATCGATGCCCGATACTTATTGCATAACATCAATGCCTGACTCTCGATAGCATTGTTGTCTCCTCTCTTGATGCCTGATACATGACATTGACGCTCGATTCTAGACATCCTAATATTAATTATTTTATGCAAAAATTTTAGTTAAATGACTTATTATTTCTAAAATATTTTTAATATTATACTCATTCAATTTTTATACACTATTTTTAAAATTTAAAAATTATAATATCATGTTTAACTTGTGTCCGTATCATGTCGTATCCATGTCAGTGTCTGTGCATCATAGATTGTGGTTTGGCTACCCTTTTGCCATGCCAATTCTATGATTTAATGGCTCATGTTGCATTTTATGATATAGCTCGAGTAATTTGCTGAAAAAGTTCAATAAAAATAATATGCCCATTCTCTTGAACCTTCATGGTTTTCTTGAATACATAAATGGGCTTTGTATTATCTTCAGGAAAATTACTTCCTGTGCAGTTTTTGCTGTCACATGTATTTTTTCTGTTATGGAAAAATTCTAGCTGCTCCTAAGGACCCTAACGTAAAGAAACAAACATCATAGCTACTAATTTCTTTTTAGACCACTGACATTATTATTTGATAGTGTTAACAATGCTCATTATACTCTTCATTGTAGTCATCATCCAAAATAAATGGTGGTCTTGCCATGTGTATCATGTGGCACCGTACACATCCGGGGGTTGATTCGTGATTGTTCACACATCTATGTAACTTTTTAGTCAAACAACTTAACATGCAACTTTTAAAATCTCAATTTTGTTATACTCTTTCCTTTATCAATAGCATGTGAAATAGAAGTATTAGCATTTAGTTATATTGATCAAAATTTTAGTGCACTTACCATCTGTTCCACATTGACCTGGCTAAAAGAGCAGAAAAGAGAGTTATGAATGACCAAATGAAGTTCCTGAAGCTATCCCCACGTTAGTAGCTTCAAGCTTCAAATCTTTGAACTGGTTGGTTAGGGAATATCTTAGTGAAGTTAAAATTCAAATATTGTTCTTTTTTCTAACAAAACAACATTATTTTTTTTTTCCTAAATTGCATCATAAAATGCAGAATTTGTTTTCTTTTAGAATTTTTTGTGTTTAACTTATCTCCTCACTCAACATATGAACTAAAATAGAAACCAAGACAAGCCAAGTTTCATCATCATAGGTTTTTGTTTTGAAGTCATTTAAACAGTGATATCCTAATAGCAATATATATCCATTTAAAATTTTCCCAAAAACCCAAATAAGTCATAGGAAAAGTTCATATTAAGTATCACAATGATTTCTTTCTTTTATTTCACACAGGGCATCACTTGGAGCAACAGAGATCGAAAAGAAAAGAGGATGGGCATACTGTATATGGTGCTGATGGCATGGAACACGATGAAGATAATGTGGAGAAGAATGGTTGCATAGCATTCTTAAATGGTAAGTGGAACATGACCAGGGAATAATTTACTAATAGTAGTTAGGAAGGGAATTCTAAAATGGATTTGACTAGTGAAATTTTCTGTTATAATAACTTTATGGCATGGGCTAATCAAGAAGGTGACACAGAAATACATGCCAAGATTGATTCTGCTGGAAATATTTCCGAGGCTTCTGTGATAAGATCGTTCTCTTCCCAAAAGGAATGTGGCAGTTCAGATGCTGTACTTGATAAGGAGGATGTTACTTTGGCTGACAGTTCAAGTTGTTCTGAGCGATGTATACTTTTTTCAGCAATGAGTTCGCATTTAGTAACAGATAAGGACTGCCAAAGATCCAACGTATCTCAATCTGACCAAGCTTCCTTATCTGAAGCTGATCAAGCTTTCACTTCATCTGATTGTTCATCAGAAGTCACACATGCTGCTACAATGAATAAGCATCTCTCAAGCGATCTTTCACTAGTAGAGAAAGATAGGTTACCAGAAAATTTGGATATTGTAATCAAAGGCAATATTATTCATGAAGAGTTTGAAAATCATATTGACTTAATGAGCACCAGCTTGAAGACACATAACCCCTCCATGAAAAGGAGAAAAGATAACATGCCTGATGTTACTGAATATGGGTCAGAGAGAAAGTTCTGTCAAGAACCATCTTTTGGTGACACTCTGGTAGGAGCACTTGAGAGAAATAGTATTCCTGTTGATATAACTGCTTGTTATCCTGATAGTAATAAGTTGATACACGAAACCAACTTCAGTTCTAACAATTCAAATAGTGGTGTGATAGAAATTGCAGGCGCTATTTTAGAAATGCAAAATAACATCAATGATGAGACAGCTTCACAATCTTCCCTAAATGAAGGGTCTTCAATCAAAGGTGATGCGCTAGAAAAAGATATAGTTGATAGGACATTAAATCACCCCTCATGCTCTGCTGAAATTGTCAGACAACATAAGATTTATTCTATGCCTCCACAAACTGAATGTAGCAATGATGAAAACACTGAAAAGGCATTTCAAAAGACAGTACATGCAACAGTTTTTGACAAAATGAATTGCACTATGCATGAAGAAAATATTTCTGAACGCTCATTTTCCTCGGCCATTTCTATTGAAATTAATCAAAAAGCTTTGTATGCTAATTTCAAAGGGGAATTGAGCTTTCCTCCATCACCAATTACGGGTGTCATAGATTGCTTTGTTGGCAAACCTAATGGAGACAGTAATCACTTGGATTCATTTAATGAGGAAGAGACTGCTTTCTCATTCCAGACACCGAACAAATGTTTCAGTAAAAAGATCCCTAAGAATGAAATTGGTTTTGAGATGCATGGTGTGGTTGAGGGAGTTGTTGAATCATATGATTGCTCTCAGAATCTGATGGTGCACCCTTTGAAGGATGTTTCCATAGATATTCATGGAGACAGGGTAACAGAGCAAAAGGAAAGGGTAACTTCTGTTTCATTTAGCTCCGCTATGGAGGATGATCTACTTTTAAAAGAGAAAAAGAAAGAAGTCCAAGAATTTGGCTCAGTTCCACCAGAAAGATTGTTGGCATGCCGCACCAAGAGAAAGCTTCTTGTTCTTGATCTGAATGGCCTGCTTTGTGATATAGTCAACGATTATTGTAATTCTTATAGAGTTGAGAAGAAGGTTGGGGGAAAACCATGTAAGTTAAACGTTGCTAGTCTCAATCTTCCCGAGATAAAAGTCTCAATAATAACTTTGATTTACTCCTTGCTAATATGATGTTTTCTTGTGTAAGTTTTCAAAAGGCCATTTTGTGATGATTTTTTGAAGTTCTGCTTTGATCATTTTCATATAGGCATTTGGTCCTCAAGGAGAAAGTATGACTTCCATTCTTTTTTGAATTTTCCAGTGTTTTTTGTCTTCAATTTTTTATGCTCCCTAGTAATGATGATTGTTTTATCTCTCTGTAGATATAATGTTGACAGTGCTCTCGACTACCTTCTCGAGGAGTTCAAACATAAATTGCTATTCTGTTGGGTGCGTACTCGGAATACTTCCACTTATTTTGTGCAAGCACTACTAATTTGATTTTGTTTTGTAGTTATTAGTTAATCCTGCTTTATTGTTTGTGAACAACAAATTGTGTTTTGTTTATCACCTTTAAGATAAAACTAACTATGTTTTCATAAAACATCAGATCCATCCCTAGTGGGCAAATTATTATGTCCGGTGTCCGGATTCGTCCGGCGGTGTCCGGATTCGTCCGGACACCAATCCAGACGCATCATGTCACCCAAATACACCGGGCCCCGGTGTATTTAGGTTACATGGCGCGTCTGGATTGGATGTCCGGACGTCCGGTGACTGGACGTAATAATTCGCCTCCGTAGTGAGGAGAGGAGTAGAGGAAGAGTCATATAATTTCAATTCATATTATCCAAGATACAAATAAGGAATCTCTACTTATAAAAATAAGACTACAAATTAGATGAAATAATTTTAAATTAAATCTAATCCTAAATAAATTATATTTAAATCTATTATAATCCAAAAATAATTCATTTTAATTTTAAATAAAATAAATTTGTGAATCCTAATTTAAATTAAGTGTTGAAATAAATTCTAAATGAATTTAAATCTAATTTGTTGTGCCGCATCATCAACGGTTGAAGATAAAATCATATTCGGTATTGGTGTTCTTGATTTTGCAAAGACATCAGAAGCCTTATGTTATTTTAGTTTTTGGCCATACGGTGTTTAGGTAAAATTAATTTTTCAGAGATAATAGTTAGGATATCATGCATTTCATTTTGTTGCATGATATTGTAATGGATGAAAACCATCATCCATTTACCTACTGGTTTTAGAACTTAATCTCACAAGTGGATGTAGAATGACCCCTGAGTTTCCTTTCAATATAATTACAGTTTTGTATTCAGTGGTAAGATTGTTGAAGATGATAATGTTGATTTTCTTAATTATTTCTAAGGGTTTTGACTTTTTAGACTTGTAAGTTGACACATTAAATATTATTTGATCAAATTTGAATTGTAGTTTATTCTTCTGAATACTTTCTTAATATTGTTTAAAAAAACAAACCATATTTTTTGCATTCTTTAAAAGTTTAATGCAGCCAAAAATTATTTCTTCCCTCCCAATGATTCAGGATCAATCAAAGTGCACATATACTGGTGCCAGAACTATTGAGAATCATCATAAGCCATTAGTTTTGAAGGAGCTGAAGAAACTATGGAACAAGGAAGAATCTGATCTTCCATGGCAGAAGGGAGATTTCTCTCCATCTAACACATTGTTATTAGATGATTCTCCATACAAAGCCCTTTGCAACCCTGTACTACTTACTACTCAACTAATCCTCTTTCATTTTGTTTTTACTCATAAAAGTGCATTAATAATGTGATATTCTTTTGTAGCCTAACACTGCCATCTTTCCATATCCATACCGGTACACTGATGAGAGAGATAATTCCTTAGGTAAGACATTCATTGCATATAATTCATTATTTATATGTTCATATTTCAGAATTTAATTTATATTACGAGAAGCAGGGCCAGGAGGAGATATTCGAGTTTATCTTGAAAACCTTCTTATCAGCGATGATGTTCAACATTTTGTAGAAGAGCATCCTTTTGGCCAACCTGCTATAACAACTTCAGATGAACATTGGTACTTTTACAGCCAAATTATCAAGAGTAATGATATTCAATTATCATGAGAGCGGTAACTTCTTTTTCATTATCTCATATATCTTTTAATATCTAAAATGTATATGTTTGGAACATAAATTTCTCCCGTTAATACTGATTTGCAGATTTGATCAATAAATAAAACTTAGTGATGATGAGTACAAACTTGGGATTTTGACAAATAACCATGCAATCTGTTATTTGAATGGCTGCTATAAGGTGCTTAATCTCAATAGTATGTATAGGTTTGACATGCTATGATCAATTTTGACTTTATTTTTATTTTATTTTGGAGGGAAGTAGGGGTGGATATAGCATTTTTTGTATAAACAAGAGCTTTCACTTTGTAGTATATTGGAAGGCGTTGCGATAATCTAGTTTTTGTTATAGTTTCCTCTCAAGTGAAACAAGCCTTACTCAGCTGGACAAAATTTACAATGATGGAACAGATGCTATTTTTTTTTTTAAAAGCTGTATAATAACCTGAGGACATGCTGTTGAAAATTGTGATTTTTCTTCATCAAAATCTTATGATAGATTATTTGCTTAGTTTTGGCTTCTGATTTGGTGCATGTTATATTTAGGGTCCATTTGTGTACGACTGCATACAGTTGTAAGATTGTTGTGAGAAAAGCAGGTTTTTTTTGAAAATTGATATGGAAATTTGTTGCTCAACAGAAATGTGATAGTTTGGTATGCCATGACCATTGCATCAGTAATTCTTTTACATTGATCTTTAATAAACCTTTCAATGCTTTTCAATCCATCAAAGGTCTGCATCTTTTATATACTTAGGCTTCGTTTGGGACGGCTTTCTTTCTGCTTTTCAAAGCTGCTTTCTAGCATAAAATTTTAATTTTTATACTAAAAAAATTGCTTTAAGAAGCATCAAGAAAGCCGTCCCAAACAAAGCCTCAGACAAACGAACATCTCTCTTATTGGCTTTTAGAGCAACTTTTTAGTAAATATTTTTTGAATTGAAATTTTTTGTATTAAAATGCTGTTTTATAAAGCAGAAAAAAAGTTGTACTAAATAAAATTTTAGACTTCATTTGGGATAATTTTTAGGGCTTAGTGTTTATGGTTTACAAAGTAGTAAAAAAGTTATACAAAATAAAATTTTAGGCTTTATTTGGGATAATTTTTTATCATTGTGTTTTTGTTTCTATTTTTTATAAAAATTTATCATGCAAAATTATTTTATTTTTTTTGAACAAAGCCATTAAAAGGCATTTATTAACTATGAAAACAGAATTACAAATGCTACCTTAAGGAGGTCTAAAAACATCCTCCTTAAGGATATTAACAAAATCAACAAAAGAATTAAAATCATGCTCTTGTCTCCAAATAAAGGAAGAAGAAAGAGCATGTTTTGCACAAAAATCAGCAGCCCTATTAAACTTCCTAGGCATAAAATTGAAAATTACATGATTGAACACCTTAATAAAAGAGAGATCAAAATCCAACGAGTTGCACCTCCATTTGCCGATTTGAACATTCTTATGAAGCCACTCCATGTTTGATTTATTGTCTCCTTCAATGATGATGCCCGTAGCACCTAATATATCTTCATTAAGTACTATTTTTAACAAATTAATAGCTTGAAGTTCAATGTAGGCAACATCTCAATGCTTTACTTGTTTCCCAGCAGCAACCAGAACATTTCCCATGCAGTCCTGAACAATGATTCCAATACCAGCTTGATAAGGTTTAATAAAAGCCCCATCAATATTAATCTTCAGCCACTTAGGAGGGGGGGAACACCAGCTACGATCAATCGGGTAACCCCGAGTAGTGTTCCATTGCTCCTTAATTGATGAAGAATTTGCAATAGAGAAGTTTCCCAGAATATTGGCAACCACCACAGAAGGTGTTGACCAATGCTTTCCATGCTTTTTTTCATTTCGGTTCAACCAGATTTGATAAACTGATTTAAGGAAAAGCACATCTTTTTGAGAAAATCCCTCTAAACTTTTCTCATAATTAATACAGCAGGTACCATCGTCAACATACCTGGCCAAAACATCTTTTACAGAAAATCCCCACCGCTTGAAAGCCTCAAACACCTCCAAAGAAGCTTTACAGTGAAACATAACATGATGGATATCTTCTAAAGCCTGACAGCCCCAAATACACTGTTCTGATACCTCAAAACCTTTGTGAAACAACCACGCCTGAGTAGGAATAGCGTCATGTATAACTCTCCACCAGAACAGGTGCTCTCTCGGTTGTAACTTAACTTCCTTAAGCCAACTGAATCTATCATCCACCAACCTGAATTGGGCCCGAAAAACCTGTTTAGTAACAGAACAAGTCAAGCCAGAGAAGAGCAGCTCCGGCCTATCCCGCTCCCAATCCTGATGAATGCAAATACCCATAATTTCTTCCATAAGGATTGGTCCAAAAAGCTGAAGCAGCCGATCTTTTCTCCAACAACCATTCTCTATCAGATCCTCCACCAAATCCTCTTCATTAATAGAAATATTAACAAAAGTAGGCCAATTCGAAAAGCTTCTATCAAGTACCCAAACATCCTTTAGAATAGAGATAGAAGTTCCTTACCAAGATTTTCCATCTAATAGCAGTTTTAAGAGAATTCCAGCCTTTTATAGAATCATCCACGATCTCCCAGGTTTTTTAAAATTTCCATCAAGAGAAATCCATAAGATCACTTAAAATAGCATAATGTAATTTAGTAGGATTTTGAAGAAAATCCCAAGCCCATCGCATGCCCTCAACGGGCCCCTCCATTAGCGAAAGGAATGATCCCCAACCATGCCTTGACTCAGTAATGCAAACCAAATCTTCTTCCAACTAACATTAATGCATTCCCTTATGATCAACAGAATTAATCCATTAGAAAAGATACTACAAAGTTTTTTATATTTTCTCAAAATGAAATAGGAACCTTAGCACTGAGCAAGTGGTATTTAATTAATGAGTAGAAAGAAATAGATCATACATAGCTCCATTCCTGCCAGCTAAAGAAAACAGCTTAGAACGCCAGAGCTATCAAATTTAATGACTTAGAGATGATTTGCTGAAATTGAAGCTTCTCACGCACGAACAGAGGAACAATTCAAGCCCAATACTCAAAGGAAATAACTCTCTTTATAGTGAAGTTTTGGATAGTAACATAGTTGCTTCAGCGATGTCCGTAATTTTTTACTTAAGCGAGACACATAGATTTATCATGAATTAATTATTTGACCAACTCGCATGAGCAATAAGAACTGATAACTTCCTTATTTTTTCTGTAGAGGATGACAAGCTTAGCTATAGAAAACAGAATAATGGTCAATCTGCATAATAAAAGATGGCGATTTTCGGATCAAAATTTTCTTAGAAAGAAACTCCAAATCTCTACCTTCTCCAGACTGATCAATAGCCTTTAGACAGCAAAATCAGAACATAAGATAACAGATACGGGTGACAAGGGACAACCTTGTTAAAATCCTGATCCGATGATGCCAATAGTCCGCATCTTAATTTGTGCCTCTTTAATACCGATATATATAGAACACGAATACCTGTCGATAGGTGAAACTGCCATTTCGTATAAATCCAATTACGTAATTAGAGGGAAAATTTAGTTAACCTGGTCATGACTTGTTCCTGTAACGAATCCCAACTCATGCAATCGTAACTGTAGCCTCCATGTCACATTTATTGCTACATAAACCACTTTAAAATTAGAGATATTCTAAAACTTCTCCATCATTTACACTGCTTACGTAGGCAATCAATACACCTGTTCTCAGAATAGAGTATACTATCCCGGCGACAAAAGCAGCATTGATGTTCGATGCATTGAATGATGGAAGCGAACGGCTTGATTCTATTTAAACAAAACAATAGCAACATACTGTACATAGTTTGACAAAGACAATCCGACCTGAAATTGTAGAAGGGACATCAGGAGACTACAAGACGGTACCATTCTCACATTCCATATGAATTATAGTTTTCTACGAAAAAAATTACAGATATAAGCATGCCATAACATTCATACCCTCAACTACTCCCAATAATTTTTTTAAAGAAAACTGCTCACGGGTAATTACCATCCAAACCCGCGAGATTTGTTTGAGAGAAAGATTGAAAACAGACTTGTATTACCCTGCTCTAGCATACTCGTTCTTATGTACATGTATAAGAGTTATCTTGAAGGCTTTGGACGAGTAAAGGCAATTATCTAAAAGAACATCCTATACATTAGACCCAATTTCTTCTTGAAGAAGTTAGTCCAATTCAGAAAGTAATCTCCGGTCATATCTCTGCTCTAGAAGTTTTCCGCGCTCCTCGCTAATTATAAGAAATTACTAATTTAGATTTTTCGGTTGGATAGCTCAGCTGCTTGAAAAAATTTTATGAATTCCAGATCCCCATACCTCAGATCCATTGACTTTGTGCTCTTTGAACTACCACC